TTGCCTGTTATTGTTAGCACAGCACTACAAATATAAAGTGCCGTGTAGTGGCGGTTAAGAATATCCACTACCCCATATCTTCCCGTGGGTTTCGTAAAAGGCGACAAAGGGAAACAGGCATGAGATGGGCAGCAGCATCTTCCTGGTAACGGCAAAAATACAATAAAAAACTGCGGTTGCCAACCCGATTATCCGAAGTCCGAAGAGAGGGGGAGGACACGCTAATCCTCGAATCCGGCAACTTGCCCTATTACCAGGAGGGCGAACATCTGTCCCAAGGAGGTGTCGGATTTATCGTCCACAAGTCTCTCGTTAACAACGTTGTAAAGATTGAGAGTGTGTCGACGAGAGTTGCGTACCTTATACTCAGAATCACCAAACGGTATTCGCTGAAGGTCATACAGGTTTACGCACCAACCTAGGCACACCCCGATCAGGAGGTGGAGGAAATGTACGAGGATATCTCTAGAGCCATGCATTCCTCCAAAACCCAATATACGGTGTTAATGGGAGACTTCAATGCAAAACTAGGCACAAGAGAGAACGGTGAGCTGAAGGTGGGGAAATTTGGAATGCAACCGGCAACGGAACCCAAGGGGCCAGCAGCTGGCCGACTTCATGTAGAAGGAGGGACTTTTTATGATGAACTCTTTCTTCCAGAAGCGGCCCCACAGGAAGTGAACCTGGTCGAGCCCCGACGGTTCGACAAAAAATGAGATTGACTTCATTATGACGACCAGACGACAACTGTTCAGTGATGTCTCAGTGATCGCGAGGGTGAAAACCGGCAGCGATCACCGAATGGTTAGAGGCACACTGAACCTAAACGTTAAGTTGGAGAGGTCTCGTCTAATGAAGTTAACGAACGCTCCGTCCCCCTCGTGCTCTAATCCAAAGTCCCGAAACCTTTCAACTCGAGTTACAAAACCGTTTTCAGTGCCTAGAAGACTGCAATGAAGTGGACGATTTGAATGACAAGCTCGTGGAAACTGTCCATGCGGTCGGAGCTAAGTTCTGCAAGACCCGCCGCAGAAGAACACAAAAACTCTCCGATCACACTCTTAATCTCATGGCTGTTAGACGGGAGATGAAGCTACATTCTTCAACAGATTTGACAGCATACAGGCAACTGAACAGACAGATCTCCAAATGCATGCGGCGGGACTTACGCAACTTCAATACAGCTCGTATTGAAGAAGCGATCGAGCGGAACCAAGGCTCCAAAGTCTTTGCCAGAGATCTGTCTGCCAGAAAGAGCCAACTGTCAAAGCTGAAGACCGAATGTGGCAGCATCGTTTCCGGGGCACCTGAGATTTTGAGTGAGATTGAGAGGTTCTATGGGCAGCTGTACACGTCATCGTTGGAGCCGCACGCAAGTGTGAGTAACGATCCAAGAGCGAGTCTTATCCGACATTATTCCGATGATATCCCGGACGTCAGTCTGAGCGAGATTAGAATGGCTCTCCAGCACCTTAAAAACGGCAAGGCTTCAGGCGGGGATGGAATTACAGCGGAGCTTCTGAAAGCGGGTAAAAACCGGTACTTGAAGTCCTTCAGAAGCTCTTTAATTCCGTCCTCCATGGTGGCATTACACCGGAGGCGTGGAGCAGAAGTGCGGTGGTCTTGTTCTTCAAGAAAGGCGACAACGCTTTCTTGAAGAACTACAGACCGATTTCCCTTCTGAGCCGCGTCTACGTGCTGTTTTCGAGAGTCATTACGAATCGTCTCGCGCGCAGACTTGACGACTTCCAGCCCCCCGAACAAGCCGGTTTCCAAAAAGGCTTTAGCACCATAGACCACATACATACCCTTCGGCAAATTGTACAGAAGTCCGAAGAGTACAATTTGCCACTATGTCTGGCGTATATGGACTATGAGAAAGCCTTTGATATCCGTCGAAATTTGGGCGGTGCTGCAGTCCCTTCAGCGATGCCAAGTTGACTGTCGGTATATCGAAGTGTTGAAGTGCTTGTACAGTAGGGCTACGATGGCTATCCGAGTACAGAACCAGAGTACGAAACCTATCCAATTGCAGAGAGGTGTAAGACAGGGTGACGTCATATCCCCGAAACTCTCAATGGCGAGTACATCACTCACCTTCGATTTGCCGACGATATAGTCCTTATGGCAGAATCGCTGGAGGACCTAAGCACTATGCTCAATGACCTCAATAGTGTTACCCAACGGATAGGTCTTAAGATGAACATGGACAAAACAAAGATCATGTTTAATGTCCATGTCACACCTATGCCGGTAGTTGTTGGGAACACTAAGCTTGAAGTTGTTGACGAGTATGTTTACCTGGGACAAATAGTCCGACTAGGTAAGTCCAACTTCGACCGAGAGGTCAATCGACGGATTCAACTCGGTTGGGCAGCGTTCGGGAAATTACGGCACATCTTCTCGTCAGGTATACCTCAAAACTTGAAAACGAGACTGTACACCCAGTGCGTGTTGCCAGTGATGACATACGGAACTGAGACGTGGTCCTTCACTGCTGGCCGGATGAGGAAGCTCAAGGTCGCTCAGCGAGCTATGGAGAGGTCTATGCTCGGAGTTTCTCTGCGTGATAAACTCAGAAATGAGGATATCCGCAGTAGAACCAGAGTGACCGACATAGCCCAACGGATTAGTAAGCTGAAGTGGCAATGGGCCGGCCATATAGCTCGAAGAACCGACAACTGATGGGGAAGAAAGGTTCTCGAGTGGCAGCCTCGTACCGGCAGGCGAAGTGTAGGGCGTCCCCCCACTAGATGGAGTGATGACCTGATAAGATATGCAGGAAGTCGATGGATGCAGGTGGCTCGGGACCGTGCTTTGTGGCATTCTTTGGGGGAGGCCTATGTTCAGCAGTGGACTTGTGAAGGGCTGTAATGATGATAATGATGATGACAAATATAAAGCGCTGACATAACCTTGTAATAGCGCAGTATAGATTTAGAAAAATATTGTTTACCAAGTTATTTGACACTCAGTTTGGCACAAAATTTTAACAATCATTGATTATTGATATAATAATGTTGTTTTAATACTCATCAATTGTTAAAACGGTAAACAACCAGCAAAAATATTTTTATCGTAACTGCAACGCCATTACATACACAGTATAATAATATTTGACAGATTTCATAGTGAGGAAGTTAATTTGTTCGAAAAATGTAAACGTTACTGTTTCTTTCTGTACTATTAGCTATATTTTAATAAAAAACTATAATATAAAATATAGCTAATAGTACATATTAGCTATATTTTATATTATAGTTCGGCCGTTCAGAGAATGCGTTCCTGACACGTCGCGATTGAACTGACGACGTAACTTTGTAATGGCGTTGCAGTTACGATAAAAATATTTTTGCTGGTTATTTACCGTTTTAACAATTGATGAGTATTAAAACAACATTATTATATATATAATCAATGATTGTTAAAATTTTGTGCCAAACTGAGTGTCAAATAACTTGGTAAACAATAATTTTCTAAATCTATACTGCGCTATTACAAGGTTATGTCAGCGCTTTATATTTGTCATCATCATCATCATCATTACAGCCCTTCACAAGTCCACTGCTGAACATAGGCCTCCCCCAAAGAATGCCACAAAGCACGATCCTGAGCCACCTGCATCCATCGACTTCCTACATGTCTTACCAGGTCGTCATTCCATCTAGTGGGGGGTCGCCCTACTAAGTCGCTATACTAAGGTTGTACTGTATATATTATTAGGTTACTATTTTACGCCAAAATTTCGTGAGAGTGTATTTCTTGTTCAGTGTGTCAAATTCTAGATTTGGATTTAAAATGTAGATGCACCTTTAAGGACTGAATGAAACTCACGAAAGGGATGAAACATTACTATAGTAAATAGGGTTTTTGGCTGTATATACATTCGACTTGAAAACACAGCAGCATTGTGCTGCTATTTTACACTAGTATTACGGGGGAGAGTGATTTTTTTTTGGTATGCTGTCAATCCTCGATACTACTAAAAATATAGATGGGACCTATTACAACCAAGATGGAGTGCCTCGTTACTAGTAAATAGGGTTTCTGATTCTTTACGGATTCTCTCTGATTTTATATTTTATTCCGTAAGATATTGAGCGTTGTGAGAGCACCTTCTCCGTTATGTGACTAATTCTCTATTAGAAAAAAGTGTAATAAAAAATGTTCTATTAGAGTTTCAATGTAGATTCATTATCTTCAGACTTGTGTAATATGGCACTATTGTACTATTCCGTGAGAAGACGGTTTTTCCTTGGAGGCACGTTGCGGTTTTGCGTTTGTACTAGGTGCATGCGTACGTATGTGCTATGATGCTTTTACCTAGTATATAATATTGCAGACCACCTTAGGATTTTTGTTTATAAGTAAACACCAATTGATTGGTCTAGAATTTAGAATGCTGAAATAGTTTTTTTGTTATTGTTTGTGAACACAGTGGAGGTGTCCATCGTCGGGACCACAGTCTGTCGAGAGCTAACAGCTGTTGCGTTCCGGCGTCTCTCGTTTTCATAAATATTATTGTAATTTACGGATACATTCTCAAAGCTCTTTTTTAAAAAAGCATTTCTAAAATTTTGATTTAACAGTACCTTAAAAGTTTAAGTTACAGCCTGTATATGTCGAATTGGTGGGTATAGGTTTCCTCTTACCTTTGAGAGGGTTTTGACCGCTGCTTTGCTGTAATGCGTATTAGCGCACTCCACATCTTTAAAATATATATATTTTTTTAATATTTCAGACATACAGGTTTCCTCATAATGTTTTTCTTCACTGCCGAGCTCGTGGTAAATCAGCATTTCAAATTGTAGTTAACAATTTCAGTGGTCTCGGTGGGGATCGAACCGGGTTGCTCGTGTGCTGTGAAATTTACAGTGAGGGTTTAGGGCCTAAGCTACTAAAGTTCAGGGGTTAAGTGGTTGTGTGTGTATGTGCGTACGTATGTGTGCGTGCGTATGCGTGCGTGCGCGTGGGCGGCGTGCGAGTGTGTGGTGGCGCAGGTGCTGCTGTCGCTGATGCTGGTGAAGGCGCCGATCACGGACGCGGACCGGCTGCGCGGGCTGGCGTGCCGCGCGCTGGCCGGCCTGGCGCGCTGCCCCACCGTGCGCCAGATCATCTCCAAGCTGCCGCTCTTCACCACCTCGCAGATACAAGGTGCGTGTGCGCCACCCACTCTGCCTTTCAACGTTCATTTTGAAACAAAGTTCCCTATCGCGCGGTACGAATTTAACGGATAGGGGCTAGGCGAGAAATAATGTAATATTAACCCGTCACGACCCCTTTTTTATAGTGCGAGCGAGATGGAATAACATCCATTCCCCTCGCACTTTTAGGGTTTCATACCTCAAAAGCAAAAAAACGGAACCCTTATACAAACTTTGTTATCCATCTATCTGTCTATCTATCTGTCTGTCTGTCAAGACCCTTTTTCTCAGAAACGCGTGGAGGTATCAAACTGAAATTCATATCAAATACTCAAGTCTACTGTCCCTTGGAGCTGTGAAATAATCAAACTTCTAAACCAACGCAATCAAAAATACAGCCGTTTATGCCGCAAATTTTCGACATTCGCAAAGGAATCAAAACCTACAGGGTACTTCCCGTGAACTCAGAATCTTAAAATTTAGTACGAAGCGACGTATTATAGCACAAATAAAGAAAAAATTGCGAAAAGCATAAATATTTAGTTACATCATATAATAAAAATATTTTTAATAATGTTAACACAATGAAATAATTTATTATAAATAAATATGCACTTATAACACAATATATGTATTGTATTAAATTAATATTTGTACAGAGCACTCAATATTTACAGTTTTTGTAATCACAACACTTAATTACACTTTGACTAATTCGACGCGTGTTCTCAAAACAGAATACCCAAGAATCATGATGCACCCTAATTTATACATTTCCCTTTCCACTTCACATTTCCCCTTCCACTTCTATTCCGTTGTGCACGAAGAGGGGCGGACGATGTTGGTTGCCAACACTGCCATCCTGCATGGTTCCTGCCTCAGGAACCTCACGAGTCTATTTAAAATACTGCGAAGACATAAATTGATTAGAAACTACTTTTATATATATCAATTATCTTATCATGACGCAAGTTTATAGTCAAAGGTTACAATCAGGTTACACATTTTTAATTCTACAAAACTCGACGGCACTTTTAAGACCACCTACACTTAAAGGAACTTGTCACACTTAAGAGACCAGGTTCGTCTTCTGGAATCACTTGCATTTAAAGGACATTTAGTCTCACTTAAACGTACCAAGTTCATTCCGCTTGCGTTTAATAAGATCTTTCGTCTTACTTAAACGTACCAAGCTTATTTTAACTATGCTTATCTCGGTTTTGTTTAACGTTTTATGTGTTTTACCCTTATTTTGTATTGACTCGCGCACTCAGTAAAATGCAATCAAAAATTTTGCCATATACACTATTTCGGTACTACCTAACATCGACCTTGTGATGTACTTCTGTATACTTTACCACCTAAAAGTTCAGTTTTTTTTAAAAATATCCTTATTTGCTTCGGCCTGTCCTGTTTCTTAAATTTCTTTAAGCTCAAAGAACGCGATCGCCTACGCCTTTTATATTTAGTGCGTTTATTGCGTTGCAGCCATCGTGATCTACGTGAAAAACAATTTGTTAATTAGCAGGCAACATACACAGTTGCCTATCCTCTCATCCATCACGCATACAAGGGCCCTCAAACAGAAATACGCTCTCATACCGTGGACTATAATAAAGCACTTCGCTTTCACATTTAAGCATACATCTCCATACGAAGTATCTCACACATACTCTTACTTAAACTTGCGAGATCCCACGTTAACCACGTGAACCACGTTTAAAACGTGAACCAGGACAGCGCCTGCCAGGATAGAGCCTGCTGCATGTTCAGAAAACACGACTTCCGCGCATACAGAGTGTAACACTTCCACGCTCACATAGTGTACGACTTCCGAAGCACCGCCATGTATAGCATACGCGCACTCCGGAACGGCGCCCACCACGCGTGCAGCATACTCATCTGCCGAAACCTGCCATGATACAGCTGGACCCGGTAGTCCATACTGACCAGCAAGGCACACACTCGCCTTACACTCGCGTACATGTAATGACATCACACGTGCTACTGTAACACATAAAAGAAAACATTAAAAAGTCTCAGTCGGAACTTGATTTCAAGAAATGCAGCACTACTCTTGGGACACCATTCGCTTTTCTAGGGCACCATATACTGAGCTGCGGCTACACGACAACCTCTGGTATGGTGCGATCCTCGTGTAACGTTAAATTATCTCTTCAATGTCAAAACTAATTTTTATTTACTTCGATTTCGTCAGTTATACTTTGTTTTTCCGCAACTAATTAAAAAGTTAAGCACTTATTCTTACAAAATATTTTTAAGACAATGTTTAGGATAAATTTGCTTTCCTCGTGTATCAAATCGTGATCGCTAGCAGCGGCCAATAATGTGCCTGTGGCGTCATAAGCCCACAGCATACTTCCACTCAAGAGCGAGCGCCCCAGCACCACGCCTTCCACTATACTCTCAACATTAGATCCCAATTTTGTCGCACATAACACTTGGATTAAACTGTAACACTTGTCAACACATTAGAATACAAAAATACTACTTAGTGTTTTTAATTCATCGCACGTTAAAGTTAAACATTTTTTTTTTTGTTTATCGTTTAAACGTGTAGAACTTTAAAATTAGTCCATGTAAATTACACCAAATATCAAATTATAACATAAGAGCATGTTAAATTTCCACTGAATGCAAAACTATAACTCATCTTAAAATACCTCCAACATTTCTTTTGACATTTTTACGTAAAGGAATAATGAATGTACTTGCGGGTACCTTATTATCAATTGAATCTTAATTGAACAAAACGATTTAACTTTTGGCTTAAAACATTTCACTTTAAACTTTTACTAACTAAACTTTAATGGTATTTTTAATTAAAACTAATTTTACGGATTTTATCGCGTATATTAATCTATTTTTATATTCCCGACGTTTCGGGTGCTTTCCAGCACCCGTGACCACGGTCACGTTACACGGTTACCCGTGGTCACGGGTGCTGGAAAGCACCCGAAACGTCGGGAATATAAAAATAGATTAATATACGCGATAAAATCCGTAAAATTAGTTTTAATTAAAAATGTGTAGTGTTCGCGTAAATATAAGAAATCATTATTTAATGGTATGTCAATGTCGTAAATAGTGCAACATATTTCATTTCGACATTTAATAAAAACAAAGACATCAACGCGAAGTCTTTCACTAAGTTAATAACTATCACAGTATTCGAAGATTATATTATGTGGACGATAACAGGGATTATATCCCACTTCTGATGTTAACACAATGAAATAATTTATTATAAATAAATATGCACTTATAACACAATATATGTATTGTATTAAATTAATATTTGTACAGAGCACTCAATATTTACAGTTTTTGTAATCACAACACTTAATTACACTTTGACTAATTCGTGTTCTCAAAACAGAATACCCAAGAATCATGATGCACCCTAATTTATACATTTCCCTTTCCACTTCACATTTCCCCTTCCACTTCTCTTCCGTTGTGCACGAAGAGGGGCGGACGATGTTGGTTGCCAACAATAATGTTAAACTTACATACCCACGGATTTCCTCAGAACTCTCAATGCGCGAGTCCGACTCGCACTTGACCAATTTTTTCCTTATCTTCTCATAAAATAAATATTATTTTAAATGCCACTTCATTTTAATAGACACTAGTAATTCATTTATTTGTATTTATTAATCAATAATATAAACGTCTATCAATAATAATATACTACGAAAGGAACTTCGTTCCAACCGAGTGTTCCACGACACTCACACATGCTTTTTTTTTTTTAAGTGCAGCGCTGACTGCTTCTGATTACTTACTTCATTGGTTTGATAAACAAGACTCCTGATCACAAAATCACGTGTCGGATAAAAAAAAACAATAAGCTTTTCTGCCAAAAAAATTTCAGTATCAACTCCGAGTGGCAGTGTTTCACCCCCGTGCTTAGTAAATTCCTCTATAAACCAATCATCAATCAATCAATATAAAAGTGGACTTTATTTTATCCACATAGATGTATATATTTTTTTAAACTAACGTAACAACTTACAGTCCACCCAATGGTAAATGGCTACTGCAGTCCATGGATGCTACAACCAACTTCCAACAAAGAAGTCTACAGAAGCGTGGTCACACCTGAGAACTAAGATAGAATATACTCTTTACAATTATTACACTATACCCTTTAGATCGGAACACAACATTGCACGCACTGTTATGACCGTTACAGCCTATTAAAATCCACTGCTAAATAATTTACCTTAGAGAAGGATATTTGCCATAGTTGCTACATTTGGCAACCACAGTTTTTTTTTAAATTGTTTTTAGAAAGACGTTTATGCCCATCGCCTGATTTATTTCCCTCTATGACGCCCATTACACGCCTAGGCAAGCGTCAATCAGTTGGATCAATCATGATTGATGTTTGAATGATAGAATAATTTCCACATTACACGCTCATGCTGACTGATGTCAGTCAAACCCAAATTTTCGGAGGGAAAGGACCTACCTATAAATTAAGCTCATTTTTGATTCACCATTTAACTTTAATTTAATATCTTGAAAAGTAAAAGAAAAAAAACGAATAGGAAAAATTGTAATATTTAATATCATTTTACCCATTTTACTTTAACGCGCGCAAATCGACCTCTTCGAGCGCATAATCGATACGCGGCTTTATTTGAAACGCATTTATAGATGAAAAATAAGTTTACCTTTTATATTTATTCGTATAGGGTGGATGCCCCTATTACCAGCCTTTTAGTGCCAATTAAAATTTTCTTTTGTATACCTAATGCCAGCATAGCAGAGGGTTATGCCTTTTGAGTTTTTAGTAGGTACCTATTGTAGGTAAGTTTTAGGGGCACTGAAATAAATTCATAACAACTTTTAATTTTAAATCATGCATGTCACAAGCATGAAATATGTATTAAGATAGACGACAACAATTATTTTATTTTAATGTTTTACTTCTTACCTTTCTGTGGTTTAGCTTTAACTAGTTCCATTTTTATTTTAACA